AGTTAGTTTCTAATTCTCAAAGAAAAAGCACCTTGGGTTGGTCACCACCTTGGCTGTGGTTAGGAGACCCACCTTATCCTCCCATACAAGAGGCTCAGGGTGCACTGAGGTTCAGTGGAGGTTCCGTTTGCAGCCGAGGGGGTGCTGGGCTCTGACTGAGGGTCTGTGCAACCCTCTGGCCCCACATTGGGCACCAAAATTGTTACCAAACCCGAGAAGGTGTGTCTTTGTCTGGCGCACTCAGACTTGCCAATTATCTGGACATTGGTCTTTGAGAAAGAGAAGGTAACTTTATTGCAATGCACAGAGCAAGGAGCCCAGAGGAAGTTCCTCAGATATGGCTCCCCAAGCTGTGGGTAGGCTGGGCTTACATGTGGTTTGGGTAGCAAGATGGCGGCCGTGCAGGTGTTCTGGGGAGGGAAAACTCTAGAAGGCAGCCAGAAAACAGGAAGTGACATGGTTCTTGTCAGACCTCTTACTTTGAAAGAGGATCTGGGTGACAATTTTCCTTCCGATTCATTCCACCTGTTGCTGTGTCCTTGGCATTTGTAGGGTCAGGTTACAGTAGTCCTAGGCGTTCCTTGACTTGCAGCTGCTGTGTCACATGGCATCCTTCCTCTGTCTCCTTGTCTCCTGTATTTTCTCCTCTTTCATAAGGACACCAGTCATATAGGATTAGGACACACTCTCCTTCAATGTGACCCCTTGTTAACTGATGACATCTTCAAAGACCTTATTTCCAAGCAAGGTCGCATTCACCGGGGATTAGAACTTCAACACATCTTTTGGGGGGACACAATTCAATCTATAACAATGCTCCCGTCTGTATCTCCCAGAATGATCTTTTTCTTGACCCCGTGAAAGAAATGTACGAATACATTCTCTTTCCCAGAGATTCAGATGTACGTAGAGCAAGGTATCTTAATCAACGTTCCTACCCACAGGCAACTCTCAGCCTGCTCTGGAGCAGTGATCACTGTTGTCGTGTGTGCATCTTCTCAGACATCTTTCTATCCATTTTTAGAAACATACTCACTATTATGCATGCTTATGGTATCATCTTGTGTTCATTGCTCTGCAGCTAACTTTGTTTTGCTTAATAGCGTCTTAAAGAACTCATACCAGCTCAAATACCTACCCCCATTTTTTTCATTTACTCATCTGTTGTATGGAATGGCACCATGGTTTATTTAGCCATCTGCCTGTTGATAGACATATATTTTACATGAACTTTTAAATTACTTTTTATACACATGATGCCACAATAAAGATCCACAAACACTTAAGTTCTCCTCGTGGTAGATATCAGGAAATGGGAGAGCTGGGCCGAATGATGTGCGCAGTATATACTTAAATAAATGGATAGCGCTGCTGTTGACTCTGACTCATGATGACCTTATGTACAACAGAACAAAACATTGCCCAGTCCTTCAACATTCTCATGATTGCTAGCATGTTCGAGTCCATTGTTGCTGCTATTGTGTCAATCCATCTCACCAAGGGTCTCCCTCACCCTCCCTGGCCCTATACTTCACCAAACATGATATCCTCCTCTAGCGATTGATCCTTCCTGATGACATGTCCAAAGCAAACAAGTCAGTCAATATTCCGTTGTGATCCATGACATTAGCATTGGTTAATTTTTTAGAGTAGATTGCCAGGTCTTTCCTCTTAGTCTGTCTTAGTCTGGAGGCTCTTCTGAAACCTGTCGACCATAGGTGACATGCCAGTATTTGAAATACCAGTGGCATAGCTTCCAGCATCACAGCAACATGCCAGCCGCCACAGTACAACAACCTGATAGACATCTGACAGTCATGAGACCAAAATGCCCTCCATGTATGACAGTTGGAAGATGGTATCTCGTAGTTTTTTAATGGGTAAAATATGAATAACAGAATTTACTGTTTTAATCATTTTTAGGTGTACAATTCAGTGGGGCTAAGTACATTCACCATGTTGTGTTAGCTATCGCTACTATTTTCAAAACTTTTGCATCATCCCAAACAGAAGCTCTGTGCCTATTAAACAACACCTCCCCTTTCTCATTGTAGTTTGATGTAATCCTCCATGTATATGGAGCCTCTCTCTGTATTTTGCTGGCCTCTGTATTCTCTCATGTCTTCCTTCACTTAGCAGAATGCATGAGAGATTCATTCGTGTCGTTGTCTTTCTGATATATGAATTTAATGCTATAAATTTCCCTCTAGGCGCTGTTTTGGCTCCATCCCACTAAATTTAATATGCTGTATTTTCATTTTCATTTTGTTCAAAATATTTTCTAACTTCACTTGAGACATCCACTAGAAGTGTGTTCTTTAGTTAGAGATGTCACCAATTTCTTTCTGTTTATTTTCTGGTTTAATTCCATTATGGCCAGAAAACATATATTGTATGACTTACATTCTTTTTAACTTAAGGTTTTTTTTATGATCTAGTGTACTAATTTTCTAGGCCTGCCATAACAAAGTACCACAAACTGGGTGACTTTAAACAGTAGAAATTTATTGTCTCTTGGTTCAAGAGGCTAGATGTCCAAAATCAAGATGTCTGCAGGACCATGTTTCCTCTAAAGGCTCTAAGAAAGAATCCTTCCTTGCCTCTTCCAATTTCTGGTGGTTCCTGGCAATCCTTAGCTTGTAGATTCATCACTCCAATCTATGCCTCCATCTCCACATGGGCATCTTCCCCCTGTGTGTCTCTGTGTCTTTTCTCTGCTTCTTACAAGGACATCAGTCATATTGGACTAGGGCTCACCCGGCTCCAGTACAACCTAATCATTACTAATTATATCTGTAAAGACCCTATTTCACAAGTATAGGGGATAGCACTTGAACATACCTTTTTTGGTGGCACGATTCAATCTGTAACACTCAAGATACAGTCTATCTTGCCGAATGTGTCCTGCGCATTTGAAAACAGAGTGTATTCTGCTGCTGCTATTGTTGGGCAGAGTGTTCTATAAATTTCTTTTAGGTCTTATTGGTTGATGGTGTTGCTTGGGTCTTCTATACACTTTGCTGATTTTCTAGTTTTTTTTTTTTCTTTCTTTTTTTTAATCAATTACTCCAACCACAACTGTGGGCTTGTCTATTACTTTTTTTAGGTCTTTCAGTTTTGCTTCATGTATTTTGAAACTCTGTGTTTAGATGTATACAAAGTTAGGATTGTTATATCTTCTTACTGAATTAACTCTCTTATCATTATGTAGTGGAGCCCTGGTGGCAGTGGTTAAGAGCTGCAATGGGCAATGGATTTGGTTTTGGTTTTATCACTATGTAATGTCCTTCTTTATACCTGGCAATTTTCTTTGTTGTGAAATGTACTTAGTCTGATATTACTATATAAAAAAAGGAAAAACTGATTGCTGTCAAGTTGATTCAAACTCATAGCGACCCTCCAGGACAGAGTAGAACTGCCCCATAGGGTTTCCAAGGAGTGGCTGGTGGATTCGAACTACCAACCATTTGGTTAGCAGCTGAGCTCCTAACTACCAGGGCTCCCATATTAATATAGTCATTCCAATTTCCTTTGGGTTAGTGTTTCTATAGTATTTTTTGTCCACCGTTGTATTCTTGACCTACCTGTATTATCATATTAAAAGTGGGTTTGATATAGGCAGCATATGTTTCGTCCCTTTTTTTAAAACCCACTTGACAATATCTGTCTTGTAATTGGTGTGTTTAGACCATTTATGGTTAATGTAATTATTGAAATGGTTGTATTTAGGTATATTATTTAATTTTTGTTGTTGTTGTTGTTTTCTGTTTGTCCCATCTGTTTTTTATTCCCATTTCTGCTTTCCTGCTTTCTTTTGGATTATTTGAATTTGTTTAGTATAATATTTTAATTTATCAATTGGCTTTTTGACTATATCTCTTTGAATAGGCTTTTTTAGTGGTTGCTCTAGGGATTATAATATACATATTTAACACTTGGTTGTCTGCTTATTTAATATTTTACTACTTGTAGAACAATTTTACAATTATATAAATTACTTTACTATCCTCCCTTTCTGTTGTAATTGTTACATGTCTACACAAAGTGAAAACCCCAGCATCAACGTTATGATTATTGCTTTCAACATATTTTAAAGAACTTAAGAGGAGAAAAATAGTCTATTATATTTACTCCAATATTTACCATTTCTGCTGTTCTTCCTTCATTTCTAAGTTTCCTTCTGGGATAATTTCTCTTCTGCCTAGGATTTCTTTTAGAGCATGTCTGCTGGCCACTAATTTTCTTAGTTTTCCTTTATCTAAAAATACCTATTTTCTCTTTGTTAGTGAGGAATTTTTTTTTATCATACTTTAGATGAAGATTTACAGAACAAATAGTTTCTCATTAAACACTCAATACACATATTGTTTTATGACATTGGTTATCAACCCCACGACATGTCAACACTCTCCCTTCTCGACCTTGGAGGACATTTTTTTTTTTTTTTTAGTGAAAATATAGATAGCCAAAATTACACCATTTCAAAAGTTTCTACATGTACAATTCAGTGACATCGATTACATTCTTCCGGTTGTGCTCCTATTCAGTGAGGAATATTTTTGCTGGATGTAAAATTCTGGATTGACATTACTTTTCTTTGAACATTCTCCTCCTGCCTCTGTGCTCCATTCTGCCGGCCAGATTCCCTCTCCCTGAATGAGAATCCAATGGAGTCCTTCCACTGCATATGGCCCTCGTGGTTCCCCATCCTCTGCAGGACATGAGCTACCTCCTCAATGGTAGGCCAGTCCCTCAGTGATTGGGCTCCTGCTGCTGCCATAGACTCCTCTCCCCCGTAATTGCCCCTTACTTCACACTCTGGTCTACCTGTCGTTGTGAAGGTACTCATTAGTTGCGTGTCCCACCCTGTCTTGTGTGGTTGTTCCTCTGACTTCCCTCCACTGGGAGCACTTGCAGAGCAGAGAGGAGCTGGAGTTTTATCTCAAATGCATGATGTAATCAACTGCACGTAATTCAACTTCCTCTGGGGCACCCAGCTTAGAAGAGGAAGCATCAGGGCCAGTACCTTTTCCCAGAAGTGACAGTGAACCAGCCTGGACAAGATCGTAGCTTGACCTGCCCCAACCCACCCAGGACACGCAGCACCAGGGTTCTAGGACATGAGTGGGGTGAGTGGACGGAGTGTGCCTCTGTTTCTGTGTTTGCTTGTTTTTTTTTAAGGGGAAATAATTAGTCCTGTGGCTTCTCCAGGAGGAATCAGCTACTGTCTTTCTCAAGGGAAGCAGTTCTAACTGACCCCAGCCCTGGAGTGGACTCTGGTGGCCAAAGTCCACATCACTGGCCAGGAAGGGTCTTGGGATTGTCCAATCAGACCCCACTCTTACCAAGAGGTATTGAGACCCAGAGAAGGGAAGTGCTGAGCCTATAGGCAGGGCTACCCACAGTGCTGGGGGCCTTCATTTAACTGAGCAGAAGCTGGGGCCCAGCACAACAGGGAGAACATGGACAGAAGTCAAGCCCTGGACCTTGGGTCTGAAGACTCGCAACCTGCCACAGACATTTCCTGAGCTGCCGAGGGGGTGTAGGAATGGAGATGTGGGGGCTTCAAGTCCAGGAAAGCCAGGAGGCTCATGGGAGCACACCCAGGCTGGTATGCGCGTGGCTTCTACTGGGCTGTGCAGGAGGGGCCCCGCGGTCTCCAGCTGTACTGTTTTCTGTCTGCCTCACAGATCCCCCCACCCTCCTCAGCCCACCTCTGCTAGCTGTGGTGACTTAATTTTCCAAACCAGAGTTCTGCATCAAGCTCTGGCATGGATACGTATCGGAAGACGGCAGTGGGCAGTGTGCCTGGTCTCTTCATCTGTCCCTGGAGCTCTGGGAAAGGGGGTTCTTTGTAAACAGAACTCTCAGCACGTAGCAGGGCAGTGGGCATGGGTTCTGTGAGGCAGACGTCCATAGTAGGTGCTCAGGGTGCATTCGGTGAGCACATTTCCTGTTTTCTTCTGAAGGAAACATCCCTCTTCACATCCCTGTGTGTCCAGCCTGTCTCCTTGTCTCTCCTGAGGCAGAGAGGTTGGCTGTCCAGAGTGAGACCACTAATGCTGCAGTGGGGGAGCGTGTGTCTGTGTGTGTGTGGTGTATGTGTGGTGTGTTGACTGTGTGTGTGTGTGTGGTGTGTATGTGGTGTATATGCGTGGTGTGTGTGTGATTGTGAGTGGTGTTTGTAGTATGGTACGTAGGGAGTATGTGTGTTGTGTGTGTGTTGTATGCAGGTGTGGTTGCATGACTGTGTTATGTGTGTGGTCTGTGTGTGGTGTCTGTACATTTGTTGTGAGTGTGGTATGTGGTGTTGTGTGTGTATGTAGTATGTGTGGTGAATATGTGTGTGTGTGGCCTGTGGGTTGTGCGTATATTGTGTGTATGTCATGTATATGCACGGTGTGTGTGTGTGTGTGATTGTCTGCGGTGTGTCTGTAGTATGGTATGTGTGGAGTACGTGTGTTGTGTGTGTGTTGTATGCAGGTGTGGTTGTGTGACTGTAAGCGTTGTGTGTGGTCTATGTCTGGTGTTTGTACACGCGTTGTGTGTGGTGTGTGTGTGGCATGTGTGTGAGTGGTATGTGGTGTTGTATGTGTGTGTGTGGTGTGTGTGTGGCGTGTGTGAGTGTTATGTGGTGTTGTATGTGTGTGTGCAGTATGTGTGGTGAATATGTGTGTGTGAATGTGTGTGTGGCCTGTGGGTTGTGTGTATACTGTGTGTATGTGGTGTATATGCATGGTGTGTGATTGTCTGTGGTGTGTCTGTAGTACGGTATGTGTGGAGTATGTGTGTTGTGTGTGTGTGTTGTATGAAGGTGTGGTTGTGTGACTGTAAGTGTTGTGTGTGGCCTGCGTGTGGTGTTCGTACATGTGGTGTGTGTGGTGTGTGTGTGGGTGGCGTGTGGTGTTGTGTGTGTGTGGTATGTGTGGTGAATGTGTGTGTGGCCTGTGTGGTGCGTGTAAGTGTGAGATGTGAGTGGCTGTGAGTGGTGTGGGGCGTGCATGGGCTTGCAGTGCATTTTCCTGGTGCGTTTAGGACCGCTGGCCTGATGATTCAAGTAAAAACACTCAAGGAGAATAGAGTTTTAGGGAAACTGATGTCAGGTCTGTGATTTTGGTCCAAGTGGTTTCAGGCAAAGTGCTCAGAAATGGACCTGACTTCCCTCCTGCCACGGGGCTCCTGGAGGTAGAGTGTGGGGTGGAAGACACACCCCCGGGGCCCCCATCTGGACACAAGCTTCTTGGGGGCGGCACCCACACACCCCCATGTTCCCTCTAATGGCCTGCATCATTGCGCCAATTCTTCTTGCCTGTTCCTCTTTCTCATCCCCAGACTGGGGAGGCGGATCCACCACTACTGTCCCCAGCCGGGCTCCCAGCAGGCTCTGAGAGGCTCCAGCCCAGCACACACTCTCCTCCGGCCCCGAGGGACCTGGGTGGGGAAATGTGGGGCCCTGTGATGGGGGAGGAAACCCTAGTGGCTTAGTGGCTAAGTACTACGGCTGCTAACCAAAAGGTCGGCAGTTCGAAGCCACCAGGTGCTCTTTGGAAACTCTATGGGGCAGTTCTACTCTGTCCTATAGGGTCGCTACGAGTCAGAATCGACTCGACGGCAATGGGCTACAGGTGATGGGGGGGTGGTGGGAGAGCTGGGGATGCGACGCGTCACCAGGATGTCCTTCCTGGACCATGTTCTGGCATCTGTCCAAGTGCAAGGAGGCTGTGAGTTGGGGTGTGAATGAAAAAAACTCTTTAGAAGCTTCTGGGCTGCTCAGCCACCCCAGCAGTTTTATAGGGAAGCGACATAACAGCTTTGCAACCTCACCCCAGAACCACGATCTGGAGGTCCTGGCAGTGTCTGTGGGATGAAGGAGGCTGAGGTCATGAGTCAAGGTCACCACACAGGGCCCGCTGGTGCCACATCCTGAGCGGACATGGTCGATGCCTCCGCGAAGTCCCCTGGGGATGCCAGGCCTGAGGGCTGTGCCTCATGAGGGGCAGCACGGTGTGGGGGTAGAGGGGGGGGTCTGTGCACCTCAGGATGTACCGCTGCTGTTTCTAGCCTGAAAACAAATCCGCAAGCAATTGGCTAGGCCCCTGGGGACAAACACTGGCAAAAGGGGTGCACTGCCCACTCAGGACCTTGCCCAGCACAAGCGAATCGCCGTAGATGAAGCCAGGTATTTCCTGAGGGCACGGCTGGGCTGGGCGGCCTGATGCCTCTCCCCTGGGCTCTGGTGTGTCCCCTGAAATGTGGCACGGGAATCCCTGCCCTGAAGTCATCCAAAGTTAAATGCAGCAAACGCAGGATGTGTACCAGGTAGGCGGATCACACATGAGAACACCGTCAACAGAGCTGCTGGCAGGTGGGGAGGAGGGTGGAGCCTGAGGCCCCGTGTGGTTACAGGGAGCTCTGCAGAGGGAACGCCCCACCAGCATCCCATCTGCACCCTCTGGGGTTGTGTGGACAAGTGGGCATCCAGCTTCCCTGAGACACAGCCTCCCCACCTATGAAATGGGAGAGGCGGTCTGGCTGGCTGTTTAAACTCCAACTGACTCCGTAATTAAATGCACAATTCAAAACTCACTTCCCTGGGGCAGGGTGATGGGGGGAGGCGTGGGAAGGCGTGTCTGTGTCAGGAGGAGTCCCAGCTCCGTCCAGCTCTGTCCACCCAGCCCAGGTCAGCTCTGAGATAACAAGGCTGAGTGGATGGGGTGAGCCCTTGGCCGACGAACACCCCACCACAGACTCAAGGAACCCCCAACCTGTGGACTGAGTCCTGGGCAGCCCACCTTTCTGCCCACCTGTCTCTGAGTGAGTGTCCACGTCCCCACCTGAGGGGTGACACATAGTGGTTTGCTCCGTTTCCCTAATGAGGACACTGGCTGCAAGGGGTTAGGTAATGCTCATGATCACCCAGCAAGCGCGAGGCCAGGCTGCACTGGGAACTCCATTCAGGATGCTCTCACCTGGGCATGTGGTCATCTCTCAGAGACATCTGGGTGATGCTCACGAGCTGGGCTGGGACTCCAAAGTGGACGTAGGCACTGTCGCTTCTGGGGTTTGTGTTGGTGACATAGAGTCATTGTAAACAGGGGCATATGTTGTGACACTTCACTTACCCGAGGTCCCTGGGTGCTGTAAATGGTTTGCGCTTGATTACTAATCGAAAAGTTGGTGGTTTGAACCCACCCAGCAGCACCATGGAAGAAAGGCCTGGCAATCTGCTTCCATAAAGATTACAGCCAAGAAAACCCTAGGAAGCAGGTCTACTCAGTAACACATGGAATCACCATGAATCACAGGTGACTCGATGGCAACAGGTTCATTTAGCGGAGCAGGCAGCCTGGCTGGGGGTGGGCACTGGACCAGGGCACTGGCATCTGTCTGAGTCCCAGGGGGGCTCCTAGGAACTGTGAGTCCACTCCTCACCCGCCGTGGTTGCCAGCAACAGCCTTGCCTCCACATACTGGCTATGCACAGGGTCAGGCTTTCAGGGGTTTGCATCCCAGCCCCACCACTCCCAGCCAATGGCTTGGGGGCATCAGGTACCCCTCAAGCCCTGGTCCTCTCCATGCCCTACCTGGCAGGGGTAGAGGGCAGGAGATGGGAGGGTGGGGGCACTTGGTGCTCAGGGGACGCTGGCAGGGACGATGTCCCATCCCTCTAGCTGCTTCTGGGCCCGCTCCTAAGAGCAAACCTGAGCCAGGATCTTTGAAAAGAGTGGGGGGCTTCCTGTTATTCCCCTCATAGTGAGTAGGCACCAGATTAAGTGGCAGGAGTGCTCATGGGGTGAGGCTTTGAGGGCGCAGACCACACCCCAGCTTGCTTGGTGTGCAGCCCTGGCCAGGCCTTTCCTTCTCTGGCTCAGGGTCCCCTCTTCTGCAGATGAGGGGTCCAGGCTGCTCCCCACTCCATGGTCAAGTCTAGCAGGGTCTGGAGATCAGAAGCCAGGAGGCCTGGACTTCTGTATGCACCCCTAGCATGCATCCCCTACTCAGATCCGGCCCAGCTGAGAAGAGCTTGGGCGGGCTTCGGAGAAAGGTTTGGCACCCATCCCAACGGGCTCTGATAGAGAGGAAGCAAACAGACTCAGAAGTACCCTCACACCTCCTGAACACCCTGAGCC